CTCTGCACCATTAAATGTAAAGTACCAGCGCTGACAACAGGCGTTTTTGCACTTTAGCCGGAGTGACCCACTGAAGAGCACACGGAGAGCGCTGTTCGAGCGCATCTTGGTAAATGTACATTCCTAAGAGGAGACAAAAGTGCTTCAGTTGCAACCTCTGGGTTTGAATGTATTTATTTTCCATATGCTTATATTTAGGAAATATATTTAGGAATCTATTTATTTCTAAATGTTTTTGCTATTCTCTTTAGTCCCCTCTGGGGGAAAAAATAAATAAGAAAAAAAATTGGAGCCTGGCAAATGCCGTACAATGCAAAGATGAAAATCAGAAACAGCACCTCCTAGATGGTAATGAAGAAGCGGATTATGGAAATTCTTAACTTTATTTAGATAACACCTGCTGTTAAGTTGGTAGCCTAGTTACCTTCTGGGGTTTATGTCAAGGGTATGAGCTGTCTGAAAGCTCCAGTCAAGTCACAGAATCACAGAATCACAGAATCATTGGGTTGGAAGGGACTTCTGAAGATGACCTAGTCCAACCCCCAAGTCCTTGCATGAGAGGAGAGTACAATTTCTATCTCTGCTAACATAAATCCTGACCTTAACAATTATCACAAGATTTCTGAGAGGCTTAAACCCTGATAAAGACTCCACAACTGAAAAAGAAACATTTTCAGATTTTTAAATGGTTGTTATCCTGTCTTTGAAGTGCTGGATATCATGAGGGGAAAAAAAAAGCTAGGGATAGTTCTGAAAGTACAAGGCAGTGAGAAGAGTCTGCTAAAAAAGTTGATTCTCCCTCTAGCCACAACAATAGCAGTTAAATTACTCCAGCCTCTCTGGGCTTTGCTTCATAGCTGGGATTGAGATGGGATTTTTTCTAGGCTTGAACCACTGTGTTTGAAAGTTTTACACCCAGGGCTGCAGTGGAGGACAGACTGTTTGGGTCAGTCTGGCTAACATTCTGCTCCTGAACAATGCTGATCCTTTGCAATAGCATCCTGTAACTGAGTTTCAGTGAACAACTATTTTGAAGCAGGAGTTATAAAGACAGGTACAATTAACAGATTAAAGATGTACATCTTTCCTTAGGATGGAAATAGTAAAAACCTTGCCCTGTTCTGGGCAAGCTGGAGGCACTTTTTCGGTAGTGTGACTAAATACCTGGTCTTCTGAATGTACTCCTACACCAGCCACATCATTCCTTTGAAATCCTATTGCAGAAGTGAATCGGGCACATATTGAAACACAGCTGAGAGGAAGCTGAAGTAGCTAAACCTTTGAGAAGTTCATCCTTACATGCAGAAAAAGGTTCCAACGGGTAATCCATATGGTTGGTGCTGCCCAGCTCACAGAGGCAGACCTAGAGGCTGCTGTGGTTGATGCAGTGCAGCATCCCGGGCAAAGTGAACTTACCGCGATCTTCCCAAGGTCGATGCCGTAGTTAAGTGCACTCCACGAACACTGTTTGAAGTTGGGTGTCCAGGACTCCTCGATGCTCTCACGCATGCACTCACCCTTCTCCCCTTTCAGCCCATCCCGTCCTGGGATTCCAGGTGTCCCAGGGATCCCGTTGGCTCCTGGGTTTCCATCCCGTCCAGGAACACCACTGGGGCCTTGCAAGCACATGCCGTTATACTGAAACACAGAACAGACCTTGCTGCTTCCATCCTTTGACTCCCTTGGCAAACCAAATAAAATGCAAATGAACAACAAAACACAAAACCCCTGCCGTGCCACAAGTTAATGGGCTACTTCTGCATCACCAAGAAAATGATTCCATAGAAGAGGAAAATAGAAAAATGGGTTTTCAAAGATAAGCACCACCAGCAGAATTTGCTGTATATTAAGATACCATTTTGTTATGAAAAGATACATAAATCCTAGAATTAAAACTTTACCTAGTCCAAGAATTAAAACCTGTTGGAACACATCAGAAAAGTCAAAACATTTCAATACTGAAAAAAAAAGTCATATGTTAATTCTTTCTCCTAACCCACTATTGCTTGTATAATTGTCTCTGCTAATAAGATTTCATTATTATTTTTCTTTTTTTTTTAAATAGAGAAAAATTTTCATTCCACAGAGTGCAGAGGTTAACGCTGGTTTTCTTTCCTCTGTCGCTGCTCCTCTGGGACAGAATCACGTCACGATAGTCAAGCCCCACAAGTCAGGCTCCAGAATGCACACACATCAGTGGTGATGCAGATGTGGGAAGCTGCACCCTGGAATAATCCTGAAGTCAGGATTCCCCCATAACAGTGGGAAGGCACACATGGGAGGATGCACAATGCACACTAACATCCTTCCTAACATCACAGTATTATGAAAGGTCAAGTGTTGCTCTCCCAAACTGCACATGTTAATTGCCTTCCTACTTTATGAAATTTGGGGTTGCCCTTCTTAGAGAGTAGGTTTGGGCTCCTTCCCCCAGCAGCCTGAGTGCTGGGATGCGGGAGGAGCACTGGTGTCAGCAGGCACGGAAATGCTGACCAGGAACCTGCAGGGTCTGGTGGTGGCTTCTACTTCAAATGCTCTTTCCCATCTGGTGACTGACTGCTTGATCTAGCCTTCATCCCAAATCTTCACAGATAACCGTACTCTGCTCTTCCATTTTCTCACACTTTTTCATCTTCATCTTCTTTAAACCACCTAATCCTCCTCACCTGTTTCAAAAAGAAAGAGTGCTGCAACTATTGCCCCTCCTGCCAGCCATGCCCCTGTCTGCACTGCAGGAGCTGTAAACTACAGCCCCTGCCCTCTCTTCCTTTGTCATACTGGTGAACTTTCCTAGTCTGACGTTGTGCCTTTTCACAGGCCTTGGTGCAAAAACCAGCATAGCTATCACAGGCTTGGCTGGAGCTGCAAAAATAAATCAGTGACTACATGGAGAGGTCTAGTAAGAAGTAAGATGAGAGCTGGACTAACGGTTGCTGGCTTTCCCTTACTACCTTCACCAAAGAACACTGGCTGGCTAAAAGCAGTGGAAACAGTGGAATATTTTAATCAAGAAGGCCACTCTTTAGAAAAGCTAGCTGAAGAGGAGACTGGTTGGTAAAGCACACAGTGACCCAGGGGCCATTAGAATGATGGAACGGCATTTCTATTTCATGTAGCACTGGTTATCTGCTTTTGCTGCTGCTTTCCCATTGGACTCTATTTGTAACAGTGACTGGCTCCTTCTTTTGCATGTGGTTACTCACCACAGAAGTCCTGGATGTGGAAATGGGCAAGAGCTGGGGAGTGGCCAAGGCTCAGGCCCGTTATCCCTCCCATCCCCAGGGACACCACAAGGGGCTGGGCTGCCCTGACAGAGGGCCTGCCACCGCGGTGGCCCAGAGCTGCACAGCAGCCTTCCACGGAGAGCAGCTCAGCCATTGCACACCCCAAAAAATTGATGTGAGCACAAGAATTACCCAGGCTTTGGGCTCCATTCCAACTAAAGTCATCTGTCTTGCCAAATAAAGTCTTTTTCATGCTTTCTTAAGCTGGAAATGCATAAAACATATTTTAAAATGTCTGCTGAAGGCAGGATCCCTTCTTGAGCATACCTTCACTCTGTCCTGGCATGGCTTTAGCTGAAGCAGTCTGTACAACCGGGCAGTGCCTGAGTCAGCTGCCATTGATTTACCTGCGTTTTGCTGCTCATTTTGTTACACCCAAAAGCATGGAGCAATGCCAGCGAAAAGAGAGACCCTCAAATACTGCTCCAACAGAAAATGTAAGCTCCTCCATGTGTACAGACTCCTTATTCTCAATACAATTCAACTTCCACAATGAAAGTGAAAGGGCAATGAAGTGGTGTGAAAGGGAAGGAGCTTTGCTATCAATGGTGTTTCCAGCACATCACTTTAGGGGATCTCTCTGAAGATCATGAAAAAAACGGCCATGCCACTGATTTTCTATAGGAGGTGAACAGCAGTCCAGCAGTTCAGAGAAATACCTTCACATCTGCTTTCTACATACCAAGGCCTGGAAAATCTCCCTCCTCTCAACTATCGCTGAGATAGGATAGTCCCAATGCATTCAGGTTTCTAGTTGCAGTGGAATTTCAAACAGTCGTATGCAGTCTCCACAGCCAAAGCGAGTAACGCATTCACGCAACTCCAAGGAAAAGTGGGTTCGGGAAGCATGCAGATACAGTTTTCAGGGTGTCTGCTGAACAGCAGACCTTTTTTTCGTCTTGTTTTGTACTTCTCTCATTATTATTTATGCACTAACCCTTTAGGAACTAAACAGCATTTACTGCTTCTGTTGGAAGGGCTGTAGGATTTCGACGTTGCCCCTGCAGTGGCTGAGGGCAGGGTCCAGCCCACGGCGCTGCCTCGGGTCCGGCCGCGATGCCCCCCGGCACCGGGCACGGCGGGGAGCGGGGGCTCCGCCGGCTCCAGTCGCAGCCCCCGACTCTGGCCCGATGGGGAAAACACCAACACACGCACCCGGCCGCCGAAAACCTGCGGTTTCTGTCAAAGCCCGTCTAATCCCTTCTCGGCATTTTCCTGATTCAGCACAACCAGGGCGTAATTAACAGAACTCAAGAGAGAAGTCCAGCGGCGCGGGACCAGCGCTGCCCTGCCCGGAGCGGCGGCGAGATTTTTCGAAACCCTCTGATTTTTCGCTTCTTTTCCCACATCTTTGCAGCAAACAAAAGAGTCCCCGCGGATCCTCCGGCCGCCGCCCCCCATCCGCACGGCGCCCCCAACACCTCCGTCAGCCGAGATCCCGGCCCCGCTCCCGGCCCCGCTCCCAGCCCCCGGCGCCGCCGCTCTCACCACGTCCACCACCTCCCGCTGGCGAAGCGCCTTCTGCTTCCCCTTGGGGCTGTCGGAGCCGGCGGGCGGCGGGGCCGCCAGCAGCAGCAGCAGCAGCAGCAGCGCCGGCAGCAGCAGCAGCGGCGGGGCGGCGAACGGGGCGCGGGGCATCGTGCGGGGGGCGCGGGGTGGGAGGGGAGGCGGGGATGCGCCGGGGCCGGGGGGGAGGCTGCGGCGCAGGAACCCGTGTCCGCCGCTCTGGGCGGCAGCGCGGGGATAAATGAGCCTTTCAGCGCGCGCAGCCCGAGCTCCCTCCCCGGGAGGCCGGGAATTTCCATCCTGTAACGGAGCGGGACGGCCAGGCAGAGCCATCCCCCCGCAGCCATTGGCACAGGGCCGGGGGCTCCCGCCCCCTGGGGCCGGCCCCGCCGAGCTTTCCCCGGGAGATGCTGGAGCCCCGGGGCGATGCTGAAGACCCCTGCGCCAGGCGGCGGGAGGGATGCGGGGACCCTCCCGGCTGTCCCGGAGCCCCAGGCAGCCCACTTCCAGGTCTTCAGGGATTTGCTCGGCAGATGGTAACTCCGTTCCGATGAAGGAGCTGTTTCGGTAAGAAACCGCGTAACGCCGCAGCGAGAGCCTGATGTACGTGAGGGGAAATGGTGTTAAAACAGCAGCTGGGCATCAATCACAAATTTCATTGTAACAGAAGTCAAGGTAAGGACACAAAATCCTTCTGAATAGCAGCGGATTTTGGACTTTATTGAAGAACCTAGTATTGTCAGAGTGAACATTGCCAATCTAATAACAGGAGGAAAGTTCTTGGCAACCCAGCGTAAACCATCTCATTTTGCTTTAATTTAAAATTTATACTTTACTTTTCATCACACCAGAAATGAAAGCAGTATAAAATAAAGAATGCTGTATATCCTCAAGCATTCAAAATAGAAATAACATATATTTAATGGGTAGCTTCTGTATGCTGCAAACCTTGTGGGATTTGTAGAGGTAAAGTTTCCAGAAGGGGGAGATAAGCTTCAACACATATTTTTTTCTGGAGTATTTAACGAAACCACACATTTGTCCTGCAGGAAAGAATGCCACAAGGCTTTGAGTCATTCACAATAGACTACACAGAACCAGATTTTTGTGTACATTAAACCCCTTCATGTGGCTCTGCACTTACTTGTCTTTCTTCCCTTTCCTTGTCTATACAGGTGGAACAATAGCAGTGAAGTGAGATTTGCACCCCAGGTCAGTCACACTGCTGTCATCAACCCTGTCACATGGTGTCCTGAGAACTGGGACTGACATCAGCCACATTGCTGAGGTGAGTGCTCCTATCTTGAGAAGAAGGGAAACAATACACCCAGCCAACTTAAAAAAACAGCTGGCAAATAATAATGGTTCTCTAAACCAGCTGGGAAAATTATGTAAATCCATAATTGCAACAATCGCTTCAGTGACAGCCTCAGTCGACATCCATGAACACGCACACGCAGAGGCTTCCTTGTGCAATTGTGTGTCGCTGCCAGCAAACCCTCCTGGCCCGGGCTGGTGGCAATCCTGTGAAGGTGGTAATGTCTGATTTCTGTGGCACCTGCTTGTTCACACAAGCATCGTTACCAAGGACTGAGGATCCCCAGCATCAACACAGGCTGTTGCTAAGGCATGTACCTTCACAGGCTGCCAAACCTATGCATTACAGAATGAATTTCTTCAGGCAGTCTGCAGTAGCTGAAGCACACAGCACAGCAGCACTGCATACCTTCGCAAGACAGTTGCTCAGTACTGTAGAGAAAAAATTTGCACGTGCATCTGCATGCATTTCCCCACCTGGGTTTGCTCAGCCATTAATTCAAGTGTGGGTTAGAAGCTTTGAAATCAAAATTACTTTGCCAGGGGAAGCAAACTGAGGAGTGCTGTAAAAGAATGTATTAGCAAACAATGTGGGACATCTTCTCTGAGCTCCAGTGAGAGCATTGTGCAATTCCTAGTTGACTTACAGCGTGTATTTCCATCTGGAAAACAGAAATGTCAACATCCTCCTTAGCCTGCATCAGTCCAAGCAAGCCCTGCCATCTGCTAGGTTTATGCTCTGTGGACTTTTGATATATTTAAATGCTTCTGAGGACACCAACCATTGCTGAATGCTGGTGAGCTATTCAGATTGAATCAGAACTATTGATCTACTTTGCCTTAACTATTTCCCAGATAAAAGGAGCTGTGGTAATAAACTTGCCTGAGCATCCTCAGACCATGATCCATATTACATCAACTAGTGATTCCTTCATCTTACCCATACTGCCATATGATATAGACTTTATATTTGATGTGGCCTTACAAACACATCAGAAAAGATTATGAGTTGCTACCTCTACCACTTAAATGTTGCTAAAATCTCCCAGATGGTCAATCTGCTCCTGCCTAGGCAGGCTCACACAAGGTCACCGTGGCACTGTCAGCTCATCACACATAACAGATGTTTACACCACAAGGCTGATGCCATGAGTGCAATCTCTCTATTGCAGCTTGAGCTGTTTCCCCCTTCACATAACCTCTCACCATCCCAAAAATCCAGACACACAAGTCTGGAGAGGAGGATGTGCCCATACGCACACATGTTTCCATTCACCTCACATATTTAAATTCAAAGGACTGTCCACTGGGTCATTGGGTCTCTGCTTTTCCTGTGCAAACTATTCCAGTTTATGAATACCGTTTGTTAGAGCACTGGATGGAATTCAACCAGTAAATAATTGTTATTCAGTCCTTAGTCTTCACAGGGTAAAACAACCAGGAAAACCAGACTTAGGGGTCTAAATATTGCCTGAGGTTTAAGGCTGAGGATCCCGAGCCAAAAGAGGCCCAGTAAGGTAAGTGCCAAGACCTGGACCTTTTGTCTGCTTTTAACTCTTATTGCTTTGTGCATTTCCCTGTTCTGGTGATGTCTGGGGATTTTGACTTTGGTTGGCAGCTCAATTTGTGCATAGCTTTGGGGAGCACGTACACACCCCAGGGTAAGTAGCAGAGCTCAGAGGTAGCACTGCAGTGCTCAGCATCACAGCACTTGGGATCTCTGATGATCTGTCCTCAGTGTTTTAATTGTAGAGTTCATCATTTAGATCTTGTTCACGGTTACTGATATTTTAGGGTGAGTTGTAAGTTGGTGTAAAAGGCTGAGATCAGAGAAAATTTGGATTTCTCGAATGGCTATTTGCAGGCTGCCTGTCTGATCGAGGAGACAAAGAGCCGTCTGTACTGCTGTAGAAGAAAACCAAAGAACGAGCTATTGGGTAATTTATTACAGGTTTAAGAAATAGATTCCAGTTTCTTCCACAAAAAGCCTTTGGAACTGCATGAATATCAGTGGGATTGTGGCCTTGATCCCTTCTAACACCTTTTAATTTAAACATATGATATAGTATAGGATGTCTATTATTTTAAAATAATCCAAAACATCTCTCCCTCTGTTTTATTGCTATACCAGCACAGATACACCTATTTAAAAAAAATCTTCCAGTAGTTTCTACATAAAATGGTAAGCATTGTAGCCACAGCAGTACTTTGCAGGTATACATATTAGCATTTGAATCTTAAAAACTCTTTTGGGGCCAATTTTTTAGTGGATTATAATACTCAGTGATGTCGTGTTTCTGCCTGTAAGAAAAGCTTAAAAGCGTAAATCGTATCAATATTCTCTTTGTTGAGACTCTACACCTTCAGGTGATACTCAGGTCATGCTAACAGTTCCCTATGCAAGCCACAAAAAAAATAATTGATCATCTGAATACCAGCCTGAAAAGACAGGCAGAGGTGGGAGCATAATAATGGAGTTGTCCAAGAGGGGCAGAACTGTTAGGAAAGCATGTGCTCACCCTTCAGATGGTTGTCTGCTGAGGAGAATTCCTACATCCATATACAGACAGATGGCATTTTTTGAGTGTGAGAAAAAATTCCAGGAGTTAAGTGTTAATTCTTTACTTCTGAATAAGCACATGGCAGTTCTTAATGTTACTAGAGGCTATATTGTGTATTTGCACAATAGAAAACATTAGAGAGAGGATCAATGCTTTTTATTATTCATATTAATTAAGTTTTCTATCAAGATTAATCCTTAACATTCTCTCCAACAAGTCAAGATGAGGACATAGGTCAAGTATCAGGAAGCTCAACTTACAGAAACAGCTCCTTCCATTGCCTGCTGGAGTTCCAGGCAGATCTGGTTTTTTCTGTCCAAGTCATCAGTTGACTTATAGTTGCATTTCTCTGCAGCTCCGTTACTAAAATAATAATGGAAGCACCAAATATCTTAAACTAAACACCACTCACAGACAGTCAGACAGAGACAAACTTTAACAAAACTGCTTGGGAGAACAGTCTGCTCACTGATAAAGGATAACTCAGCACACCCCCAGACATTTCCATAGTGTAAACATCATGATGAAAAGCCTGTACTGTTCTCATTGACTAGTGGTTGCAAATTTCAGACTCTGAAGGGGTCTGGTCTGTGCCTCTGCAAGGCTGCTCCCAAGAGCAGCTGGTGCAATCCTGGCTGCAGTCATGGAAACTTCTGGGTCTGAAGGGGCATCTGGAGCACATCTGGTTGAAGCAGGTCTGCTTAGATTGGGTTATTCAAAGACTTGTGCACGTGGTAGAATGGGAAAATTAATTCAGTGCAGTTTTAAGTTAAATTCACTGTGCCTCCAGTGAATCATCATGTGCAAGGAGAGAGCTAAGGCTTAGGAGGAACATTTGCTCATTAATGAGTGGCTGTGAATTAATCAGTGGTAGAAAAATCACTTGGCAGCCTCACGAATCCTCAATGAATAGAAAGGCAGAACTGAAAAACTAACTTTCCTTAAATCCTGTGCTAATAAACGGTTATTAGGATGTGAAATACAGTGCTCCATTCAGACAGGATTCTTCAAATGAAGGGAACAATCTCTCTTTTTCTACACCATTCATCAAGTGCACTACCACAGGTCTGTCCTCCCGGTTTTGGAATTAGCGATAATCCTAAAATTAAAGGAATAGACTCGAACTTTTAAATTTTTTATTTTATTTTATTTGTGTCCAACAAGCCCTTTGAAAAGGAGTTCCTCAGGATAAGCAAGGCAGCTAAGAGCAGGGCTGAGGCAGGGCTGTATAGCCCTTCAAGGTGGCTTACAGAAACCAGAAGTCTGTAGCCACTGTAACAAGGCACACACAAAATGCACAGAAGCCCATGGATGAAAGCAGCTTTGGTGCAAGAAGCAAACTAACTGGTCCAGGACACTCAACAGTTGCACAAAACTTCTGTCTCAGAAGAAAGAGAGAGGGGCAGAGCCACAACAACAAAGACGATGGAACACACAGTCACTGCAGTTCTGCCTCTTAGATGTAGTGGTGGAGCTTGAAGCCCATGGCATTCCTGAGATCTGGTTTCTCACACCCACACTGACCTCGGCAAAGAAGCACCACGGCTCGTGCCAAGCAGGGCTGTGGAACCTCTGGGCAGCACCTCCTGCCTCTGGTCACTGATGACCCACTGTCATCAAAAGAGCAAAGGATGGACAGAGGCTGCCGGGTCAGGAGAGCGGTTCACCACAAGCAGTTCAGTGGGGGCATCCTTTAGCCCTGAGGATACTTCAACTCTTGCAATGTGCTGAAATAGGAGTCTTATTTAATTTGCATCAACAACTGACTAGCGCAATGCTGCTGGAAAGGATCAAGCACCTGAATCCCTGGCTCACGGGGGGATGAAATTGTGTTTGGCCATAACAGCCAAATGTTCTGGCCAGGTTGCAAAATGTTCCTACCAGGTTGCTATGAAGAAAAATGTCTTTTTGAGTCCTTCTTTGAGTAATGTTTTTACAGCAGGTGCTCATCTAACCACACTTTTGTGAGGCATTACTTTGTTTCTAGTGTGGTTTCCTTCCTTCTATCCTTATAACTGCTGTAATTACAGCACCTCTTGGTTGCCAAGTAGAGAAACTTTCAGAATGTGTGCCCTAAAAATATCGAATGCTGCTGAGGTTATATTAATTTAAAAGGCAGAGTCCTCCCTCTTTTTTTTTTTTGGGTGTGCTTTCTTGTTTTTTTCTACTGGTTGGGTGACTTTCCATTTCTCTCCGTAGGGAACCTCATCCCAATTATCAGCATCTCTCAGTGTCCTTTCTCACTGCCTACTAAATAATCTTGCCTACTAAAATCACATGTTAAGAAAAATAACTCAGATTAATTTCCATGGTGAGCCCTGACTTCAGCCAGCCCAACAGATTTGCATCTTGTCTGCTCACTGGCACATCTCACCTGTCAGTGTCATTTCTTCACATTTAATGGAATGATATGTGGCTGGATTATTAATCCCAATAGTGCATTCGCTTGTTCTTTAGTTGTAAGTCTGGATCACAGCCATGCCTGTAGGAATCTGGAAGGAGAGCAAGTCCCAGAGAGGACTATGTCCAGCAGGCAACATCAGTGACTCAAATCTAGTGCCAAGAAACCTGTTCAGCTGCTTCAGCATCCTCAAATCCTCCATCTTCAGTCATGCAAGAGTTGCACACAATCTTATATAGTAGGTATAATACTACTGAAGTTGGGCCTGGAGAGAATGCAGTTTAAGCCATCAACTAATTAACTAATTTATTAGTGATTTCCTCCAGGACCTCGCCTAGCAGTGATTTACTTTTGTACCCATGTAATTTCTTGTGATTCAGTTTCATATGATCAGGTAAAACATCAGGAAGATAAACTGGAATGCACATTCTCTTCATCATCCTTCATATACGACCAACATGGAACATACTTTTTCCCGTTAAGCCCCCTTGGGTGGCTGTGTCTCATCATCCCACCCTCACCTCTGTAACTGACAAACCTACTCAATGGAAGTAAAATCGCTTCTTACTGTTTCTCTTCACCTTGTGTGTTGATAGTGAGGCCCAAACTACCAGTGTTTTCCTCTTCCCTTAAAATACCTGATGTTCTCTCATGACTGTCCTGCTGTACCTGAGGGCGGCAGACCAGTGTCCCTCCACACCCCCTCCACCCAGTACCAAGGGCCTGTTTAGCACTTCCCTTCCACAAAAACTGCCTTCTTCCAAACAGCAGGAACTATTCCCCTCTCCAGCTCCTGTCTGTGCTAAGAAACCAGCTGTGACCCATTTAATGAAGGTAGATCTGTGTGTTTAAAGATCTCATTGGCCATCACTTTATTTTGAAAAGTAAGACCTGAAATAAAGCAAACTTTTATTTTAGATTTTGTTTCTGTGAACAAAGTTGAAATACAGGGAATAAGCATTAATGAAGAGCTTGGATATAAATGTTCTGGCATGTTTTTAATCTTTTAATTATGCTTTGCATCTCAAATGGTTTTCAGTAGGAATTAAAATCCGGTTAATAAACAGAAATGGATTTCATAGTTGTACATCAGAAGTATACTCTGAGCTTCACTTCCAGATACAGAAAGCAGAGAGCTCACGAACATGTGGTATAGGTTGCTTTAATTAAACTCTAGTCCATTAAAAAATTTAAGTATGATAAGCAACAAAGAGTGAAAGAATATGTGAAAAAAAAAGGTAATGCCCAGGAAATAACATTTATTCCCATGACACTCTCAAATACCTTTGGTGCCAGCCACCTCAATTACTGCAAATACCACTGGTTAATACTGGCAGTGAACTTTACCAGTGAAGAGAGCGCCAGATGCCTTCAAAGACTGATCCAACAAGCAGCCAGTGTGAAGGGAGGGATGTGGCATTTCTCCTTTGATATGCAGCCTTCTGAAACAACACGTTGAGACTGGGTGGTCAGACTTTGCAGGAAAACAGGATTCTTCATCCTATTCAGCTACTGCAATTTTCAGTGTTTTGCAGAATGCTAAACTTATTTTCATTAAAGAAGCCCAACTTTTCATATTTGATTTGTTTTTCTATTTTGCTCTGAATTTCGACTGGATTTGACTGTCTCTAAACCAAATATATTCTGCATCCTGTAAGGAAAAAGGAGATACAATCCTCTTGAATCTGTTGAACAGTTATCAAGGAGTCATGTCAAAGAGTGCTAAGAGTTGGACTTGATAATCCTTATGGGTCTCTTCCAACTCAGCATATTCTGTGATTCTGTATTAATAGTACCTTTTAAAGGTTACAAGCATTATTTTGTTTATATTTGCCATGCTCTGGGTCAGATTTGCAAGCTTGGACAACTTTTTTTTTTTTCAAATTTGTGCATAGATTTATACTCTAGGTAAATCTTATCCAGTTTTCACTAAAAGCATTTAGCAAAATAGGACAGTAAAATGCAGTATAAACAATAGGTACCATGAAACTACCATACTGCCAATTTCAGGTGCTGTTTATATCACAAATCAAATATGATTTGGTATATCAAATTTATCTTGTCCTTTGAAAGATTTTATATGCAACTTGAAAACTCAGTGCAAAGCATAGTTTGAAGTGGTTTATGACAGCTCCAACAAGAGAAAAAGACCATTTGGCACACACAGTTCCAGGTTTGCAAAAGTTGTCAGTATCCTTTATTCTAGCATCCTGCAAATAATGGCAGAAAAAAATACTGAAATAGCTGTAGCCATGTAAATAGTTGGATTTACAGTGCATCTTCCAGAAGATTGTCAGCCTTGATTCAATGACTACAGCTGTCCCAGGGAGAAGTAATTGTCACAGGTTAAGAAAAGCCCTTTTAATATGAATGGTCTATTTTCAGTTTTAACTTTGGTCAGAAAACAAGAGGAAAGCAAAAAAATCCAAGTATCTTTTGTTAGAGAAGCTGTTAATGAGTCCTCCACTGCCCATCACTGTAAGGCAGTCAGTCTGCCGGGCCCTGACTCTTCTCTGAGCCCCTTTTCTTGCAGTTTCTTTCCCCCCACCATTTCCGAGAGCATTCAAATCGCTGTTTAACTCCCCATTTACTGCCGGGGTACTTCACGGTTAAAGCACCCAGAGATCACAGTCGCTTTAGTACAAGGATCACCCTGGGAATTCAGTCTGCTATTTCTGGTACAGCAGCACTGGAACACACAAAGTGCTACAGTCTCTATCTACCAGTGATGCAATTCACTGCTGGTGAACGTTACGATCACTGCTTCACATTTCCCACTTCTTTGAAAATGTATCTATTTTTAAGCCCACAGTATTGCTTTAACTTCAAAATTACTTCGCATTTATCTTTTTTAGAGCAAGTGACCACAAAAGATTTTTTTCTGAACTACCTAAAAAAAGGGAATAACATTAAAAAAATTAAAAATCACTACTTAAAGAAGGCGGCAGCACAAGCACAGTGTGGAAATACGTATTCTATGTAACCTAAAGGAGGTCTTTAGAGGTCATGAAAGAAAGAATGCTCTAAATATTAGGATGAAAGAACAACTTCAAGTTTCTTACTCCTTCATAACTCTGTGTTCATGTGAACAATTCCCAGCGTTGTTCTGTCTCAGTTTCTCACACAGGAGGAATAAAAACATTGCAATACTTATTAACCCACAGAGCTCTACTAAGAAATACATTAGTGTTTTAGGTGCACAATTCTACAGTAGTAGAGTAACAAACATCTACACCTAGTTACTATGAAATACCGACTCAGAAGCTCTTACTATACAACAGTATATTTTATTACTAACAAATACAGTAATAACAAAACTACTGAACATGTGTATAAAGTTACCTGATTACAAACAGAATTAGAAAAATGAAGGGTATTTATTGTGCATTTTCACAGGAGATTTTTCATCTTTCTCACTGTACTTCTCAGTAGCAAGAATTCTGTGTATTTTTAATGGAGAAAGTCTAAAAGAAAGAGCATATCCCATTTAAGGCAATAAGTTACAAATGCTAAAATGCAGACACTGTAATATAAAGACATTCCATTTTTAATGTATGACGGATAAAATGAGTAACTCTGGTTTATCAGAACTATAGTTCCTGTTGTTTCAGCATTTACATGCCCTTTGTACCATGCAATTTTCATTGTTCAAAGCATCACCATGAATGCTGCCCAAACTCAAACACAGTAATTGCCCTGCATAATATCAAAAATATTGAGAAATATTCTTAGTTATCAAATGCAAGATGATGGACAGTCTTACAAAATGCATTGACATGTTTTGAAAACAGCACAATCCTGTTTCCAAATTATCTCAAGTAATAAATCCCATTGGCTCTTAAGAAATCTTGAGTCAATTGAAGCCAAATGATGAAATTGTTATCCACATCAGTAGCTCTTGAGAACCACCCTATCATAAGAAAGGCTACGTGTATTAAGGCCTTTTTGACTTAGAGAAAATACATTGCTGTAGCATATAGAAAACTAAGCTTTGTAGAAAAAGTATTAAGGCCATCTTCCGAGTAAACAGATTGTTAAACAAGTTTGCATATTAACAACGCAACACATTATTTTCTGCAAGATATTTCTCTACAGAATATATAAAAAATTAAGTTACTCTCATAGAACCACCATGAAACGAGCTTTCACTGCAGCTCAGTACAAAACCCCAAAGTGTGTGCTTCAGATTCTGCCCACCAAGGCCAGGGGTCTGAAGTGTTCCTTCGGCACGATGCTCTGGAACACTATGCCAGCAGAGGCTCCAAGAGGCATTTTTCTGAAACAGTGCTGCCCCTGCTGCATCATCCCTGTGACAGGACACACAGGTGCCTGACCAGTCTCACCCCAGATAACAGTGCATGTCACAGATAAAGGTACAACCTGCTTTACTCAGAACTGACTCGTGTTGTCTGATCACCAGGGGACACTTGGCTTCAGCAACCCCCTAACGGAAGCATGTGAACTTTCCCAAGTTTGTACAATACATACAAATACAGCAGTTCTAAAGATTGACCTTATGCAGTCAGTTATTTACAAAATTCATTTTTATGTACAAAATAAATTGCTATAATTCCAGATTCCCTTTCATATTCAGTGTACAAGCTACCATAAACCAGTGCTGTAATTGATACAACAGGACACAATTTAGAGAGTATTTATAAATTTGCGTATCCCTTATTTAAGTGATATTATTGTTTAAGAGACAGTAAAAAGACAAAAAAATTAGCAAGTGTTAAAAAATATCGAAGAGGCAGATGGAATTTTTGTATCTTGAAAAGTAACAGTGCTTTCTAAGCATTACTTTAATGCAATTCATTATAAAATGTTTGTCTCTCATCTTTTTCTTACATTACTGCCATGTCCTACAGAACTTCAAATTCCATTATTCCTGGATAGGATTAAATACAGTACATTATTGTTAGCTGTTTCCACAACAAAACATACATTTTTTTAAGTGCAAAGCAAGATATGTGTGTTTTTTAATAAGGCACAGAATATCCATTATTTCCAGTGTAACACAGAATTCATGTCAGTTTTATAAACTGCAAATGTTCATACAAAATTTCAATCTTTCAAGGATTTGAACTGTTTCCTGAATCCAACTCTCTTCTGGTGTCTGAAGCTGAGTAGACAAGTAGGGATATGGAAGCTGAGTGTGAGACATCAGGTATTTGGGAACAGCTGCTTTGTAGTGGAGGAGATTCACTAAAATCATTTTTAGGAATTATTCTGCAAGTAATGAAAAAAACCACAGTAAATTTTAAGCACAGTGCATTACAATGGCAAAAAATTGAGCAATGAAATCATAATGTATTTTCAGTTGTATTCTTTTCAAGAGAATGCAATACAGTTCTGTAAACTTTTCCAAGCTTAAGGTCACTATTGTTGTTTTTCAGATCCATCACCATTGAAGTGCAGTCATAGATTTTTTGGAGCTGAAGCTCCAGCACTCAGCACTTACATGGAAAAGGAGAATCCTACAAATATACAAAATAGCCCATATGCTAAAGATACATGGCCACGTGGAGCAGTCTGTAAGTTCTCTTGACAGCTACTGTGGGTTAGCTGCATATTGAGAGTACACTGATTCTTCAGAGAAAAGGAATAGAAAACTTACAACAATAGTGGTAATGTGCATAAACAAGCAAATTATTGAGTTCAGGTGCCTTACCTTCCTTCACCTACTCTCTTCATACTCTCAGCCAAGCTACTCATATGACATGTGCTATCTGCTTTGTTTCTTCTTTCCACCTGATCCATGGTCAATTTAGAACCAGATAACATTTGATCTCCGCTGTTTTCACCCTCCTCGACTCTTCGGGCTGATGTTCCGTCTGCCTCTATCTCTTTCTCAGATGTCTCTGGAGAGCTTTTAATTTCTGCAACAGTTTCTTGGCTTAAGTAATCATGATTAGTGATTGCTACTGCAGAAGTTCCATGATTTGTTGCACCACCCGTACTGGTACCCATTGACTTTGAAATGACTTTAAGTCTGTGTGAAGTTGACTTGTAGTGCTTCTTTTTGTGTTTAACTTTGGAATTGTGCCTCAAGAAAAATTCACATGACTCTTGCAGCACTCTTCGACTCTCACTTATTGGACTAAAAGAGAACACAAGCAGGTAACTGAATGAAGAGGATAACCTTGGCTATAATGTGATAAAGACTCAGACATAAAACCCTGACAGAACAGGAACCAGTGATGCAATCTGAGATGGATGTTAATGAACAAGAAAAAAAAATATGTGAAAAGAAGAGAAAAAAAGTCTGATCATAATAGCACCAAAGTAATTATGTTTGTGCAACAATTAAATAAAGCAGATTTCTACATATCTTACTTCTGCAAGTTGGTCTTAATGACTTCAGTACATTAATGATCTAAGAGAGGAAAGAAGGATTAGCTCATAAAGCAACTACATTATCAAGTTAACTTTATATAAAGTAAACCTCATTCAAATGAAGAAAGGTAAGCATTATAAAAATTACTTCATTATTTTTAAATCCTTGTAGCTGAAAGCAGTTAACATCTGAAATACAAGAAAAAATTATACAGGAAATGGAAAAAGAGGGTAGAGGGAAAGGAAGCCATAAGCTGACCATCGAAGAATGTAAATGTAAAATAAAAGGAGCTTAAGGACTACTGCCTTGGGAAATCCAAAGAAATAAAGCAATCTAAACCCACAGTATAATTTATAAGTAATAGATAATCTAAAAAGAAATAATCAAGGAATAAGAAAGAATTGAAAAATTACAACAAGAAGAAATGGAGATGAAATTTATAAGCTGCTTAAATCCATAGATACAAATTTACTAAAATTAAGTAATAAAACTGAATATTTGTCTTTCAGAAAAAAAATAAAGAACAGTAGATTTTTGCAATAAAAGTGACAGTAAGGAGAGTTCAATGAATATTAATTTTAAAACAAGATAAGCCTGGCAGAGAAGAAAAGCAGATGATATTATTATTGCATGACAGTAAACACCACAAAGTACTGTGTCAAATGAAGTGGTCGCAACACATGAAAGGAACTAAACTGATGACTGAAATTATCTTCCCTCCTTCGACTCGAAACCAGAGATGTATTAGCCAATGCTAAACACAACAACATGCCTTCTGCTCTACAAAAGAGAAATCAGCAGAGGAAAAAAATTTCTATCTTCTGAGAATGTCAAAAAGTCACTGCATGTGTAAACCTTCCCCCGACTCCAATGGAATTTTGCTGATGCCCAAAGGCAGCATTTAAAGTCTGAAAAAGAAGTCTCAGGACAACATTTTGATTACCTGAGCTATATATAAAGAAACATGTCTTAAAGCCAACTTTATAAGTATACACTTTAACAAACAGGAATAAAAAAATTTTTCTTACTCTCTTTTGCGGTTTCTGTTGAAGAAATTGGCCCATTCAGAACAGGTCTTTTTACTTCCCACCCAGAACACTGGAGATATGCCGACAATTAATGTCAGCAAATATTTCATCAGAAACAAAAATATTTCTGGTCTTGCTAGTGCCTTTGCCTAGAAGATAAAGTTTAATAAATGCAAAGAAAAAAATACACTTGTTGATTTACTTTTTTAAATGCAGAAAACAAATTACGTAAATGAGAGACCTTCTCCTTATGGCTGTTGTTCTTTGCTGAGGCTTGTACTGCGGGCAAATGTTAGACATGTACAGTCAAGTCAGACACGGTTCATGTCTACAGCTGAACACACACAGAGATTTTTCAGAGGGAAATATTTTTCTTTTAAATTGAAAGGTAATTTGGGGAGCAATAATATTAATAAACATGTTCTTCAGAGGTAAGTATGTATATATAAGATTTATCCCTTCAACTTAAAAGAAACAGCCAGCGGATCACAGACTCACAGAATGGTTCAGATAGGAAGGGACCTTAAAGACCATCTACTTCCAACCACCTGCCATGGGCAGGGACACCTTCCACTAGACCAGGATGATCAAAGCCCCATCCAGCCTGGCCTTGAACATTTCCAGGGATGAGGCATCCACGACTTCTCTGGGCAACCTGTTCCAGGGCCTCACCACCATCAAAGTAAAGAATTTCTTCCTAATATCTAACGTAAACCTACTCTCTTTCAGTTCAAAGCCATTCCACCTTGTCCTGTCACTGCATGCCCTTGTAAAAAGTCTCTCTCCATCCTTCCTGTAGGCTCCCTTCAGGTAGTGGAAGGATTAGTTGGGAGTTAATCAGATTAGACAGCATCTTCAAGGAGCCGCAGGGAACTACACAGTAGCTTTCTGTTTACTGCAAAATTAATCCACCTATTTGCAGAACTGTATCATAGGAGCTGAGACATTTAACTCAGTAAGAGATCATTATCTTCTGCTCCCATTCTGCAGATTTAATTTATGTTACCTGGCTTATCTGCCAGCCCATCTATGAAAGTCACTATTTTTGTTAGGCAGGTAACATTAACCACTTAAACTGAAGTTTGTTTTCATTTGGTTTTGATCTGGCCAACGTAACAAGAGTCTACAAGCCAGCTCAGGTAAGCCAAAGCTGAGCATGCCACTTTAAGCTACTCCACAATTAGCACACACTGTCTACCATAGGGACAGATCCCATAAAATAGATCTTTGTTAACATTTCCTGTTGCTATTTCTTCTTTCCAATAGGCTAATTAAATGATGAAAATACATGCTCTTTCCTGTGTTATTATGCCAAGCTCTTATATTTAAGCACTACAAAACAATGTTGTTGATTTATTTTTTTTAACATAAGTGTCTTGTTTTCAACCTTGTATATTCTAAACCATTTAGGCTGATACAGAAATCAGAATAAAACCCACTGAAGTCAAAATATACTTGTTAAGAAACAGTATTGGAAGCACAAATAACCAAGTTGTCTGTGAACTGTGCTACTCTCAGCTTACACTGACTTCAATCCAGAGGATAATAAATAATGTTTAAGGATGTAAGAGATCAACCCTTATCATTTCATAATGCCTGTGTTTATATTCCTCATTTTAATGACATTTTATTGCAGCAAAAACATAGACGATAAGTGTAATGCAAAGAAAGATGACATGAGACACTTGCATTTCTCTTAGGGATGTTTGCTTGTATGTTTTGTTCTTAAATGGAAGAAAACAAACTACAAATTACTTGTAAGTAATATTACAAATTACTTGTAGGTAATTTGTAATATAAAACTCCTTGCAATTGCAAGAGATTTAATCCACAGAGAGCCCTGAACACAGGCAGATTTAATTTAAAAGCTTTTCCAAGGAAGTTTTTTAGGAGTCAAATATTAAATACAATCACCTCCATAATTTAAAGTGCTGTTGAGGTTTTTTTCTTTATTTGCTTTTTGTTTGGTTGTTTTTCATAAAGAATTCTTTGCATTTCTGAAAATCAGTCTGCAAATGACAACTATTGTGGAAATTTGTTCTGTACTGTTTTGTATTGGAAATTTGTTCTGTAATTTCAAGTGTTCTTGAACGCATTTCTACAGTTCAAAGAAAAAAAAGACAAAAGTGATTTTAAATCTCTGGTTATAAGCAGCATTTAAAATTCCATTTAGTCTGGATCTTCACGAATCACTATTTCAGCTTCAACGGAAATTGATGAAAATTCAACTTATGCACTTTGATACTGAGCTAGGCACCCAAGTACTGAGCAACTATTTAGGAACAAATATCATGAAGAATGATCCTCCTCCAAGGCAAATTTGTAACATGAAGTTCAAAGAAAGGTTATATATTCTGTTAGAGCTGTGAGTTGGAATTGCTGAGTGCTACGAACTCAATTAGTGAAAATTTTCAAACCAAAAGTATCATTCCACTGATTTTGACTTAAAAAAGAATTAATCGCTCTATGTTCTTGAACTGATTACTTAATGTGAAAATAACTTACTAATTGCATGGCAGATACAGTGAAGCATAAGGGGTTTTGTTAAAAGGAAACTGTTACTTGCCTGATAAGGACAAGGAATATGGTACTGGTCACAGTGGTCAAACACCCAAGTCGTTTCCCAGATTTTCCGGTTCACCAGTTCATAAACATAACATCCAAGAAGTGCTACCAGTGGCACCAAGTACAAACCACTAAAAACTCCAATTCTGATCATGAATTTCTTTAGCTTCTCCTGGTTCCTGCCATCGTGTTGGATGACTTGGCGCACGTGATTTAAAGAAATAATACCAGCTAAGAGAAGAGAGAGACCGAAAAACACACAAAGGCACAGCGGCAAAAGCACAAAGTACAGAGAGGCATCCAGATCATAGAGACCCACAAAACAAACTCCACTGATATTGTCTCCTTCCACTTTGTTCATCGCAAGGAGCATAATGGTTAGAAAACCAGGTATTCCCCAGGCAACTGCATGGAACCACATGGCCTTTTGTGCAATAGCTTCACAGCTCCATTTTCTTCCCGCTGCAAGGAACCAAGTGATTGTAAGAATCACCCACCAAATAGTTCCTGCCATAGTGAAAAAGTACAAAACCATGAAAAGGACAGTACAGGCTTTGTTTTGGGAGCCAAGAACAACTGTTTCACCAATTTCTAACTTATCATCTGCCTCATTACAGGCAGTTTTGTTCCCAAGCAAAAATCCAATAAAGTACATCAGAGAGACTATGCTGTAACAGACAGAGTAATATATGATCGGTCTCTCTGGGTACCTAAACCTTTTAACATCAATCAGAAAAGTCAGGAATGTGAAAAGTGTAGCACAAAGACAAAAGATTGAAACTATTCCAATGAAGCTTTTTGCCACATCCAATTCATAATTTTTGAAGTACATGTTGGGACATGGGGGTGCGCACTGATCAATTCCTAGAAACTTGTAGCCTTGTTCATTGGTAGTGTGGAGGTGCCGGGGACACCAGAATCCATAATCCCTTCGGATCTGGACTGGGGTCTTCCGAGTTCCGTGTACGTTTGTGGTTACAGCAGCAGTGGCAGGAACGGTCTCGTCACAATTAGTTAGTCTGAATAAATAAACAGAAGAGGAAATATCTCAATACCCCTCATCCTCAACTAGAATTACTTTCTAGAAATATGAAAAAAATCTGATTCTAAGCATTGTTAAATTTTACAGATAATGCAAACGTGCATTATATGAAAAAATAAATCAGATGGCACTATAAAAACCAAACTTAAAATTCAGAAGACTTTAAACACATTTATTTAACTGTTGCTCTGTAGCTGTTGTTTCATAAGCTATAAAATCACTACTCAAATTGAAACCATTCTTTTAGAGTTTTAAATTCTATTGAACTTTTACATACTTATATCAAATGTATACAGTAGGGTTTTTTTTAAATTTGGATAACAATAGACTGTTGCAGACAGCAAAAAAATCTTGTCAAAACCCAAGCTGCAATCAATCAAGGAAGAAGGTTGACATCATTAATTGATGACTAGTACATGATCATTACTATAATTTTTTGTGTTATACTGCTATCTCATTGTCAACAACAATAAAATATCTAACTGAAAAAAATATAAGCAGAAAATACAAGCACTGTAAAAAATTAACAATATTTTAGCAATTTTATAGCTCTATGATGTTCTTTTAAAAACTGCTCAAGACTCAATTGCTCCACGGTTTAATTTGACACAAGAGATCATCTTTTTACATGGATAATATCATATTAGCAGTGCTGGACTTATATTCAGACTAGATTATATAACTCAAGCAGGTCAGCATTTGCTTACACTGGGATTTATGCTCATATGCATTCCAAGTTTAAGTGCATGTTTAAAAAGAACAAGTTTTGCATTCTAGCTTTTAAAGTAAGATTCTGTTATCTCAACAGTCTTTGTCAAACACTATTACAAGACTCAATTCAGTTTGCAAGCTCAGCTTGAGCTAAAAACCCCGTCAGTTCTTTGTTTCTCTGCATTATCACGCCATCCAAGTAAATCCAGCCTAATGAAGAAAACTGATTCTGTGGCAGACTCTTTCATTAACCACAGGCCAGAGCATGATGCATGGACACATTCACCCATGTCTTAATTGGCATTATATATGTCTGTAAGAAAAGTACAAAGATCAGTGTTTACAGAGCCATAGTGCTGTCTACCCTCTTATATGGTCCCGAATCATGGGTCATCTACCGCCACCACCTGTGACTCCTAGAACACTTCCATCAACGCTGCTTCCGAACAATCTTAAACATCCCCTGGTCAGATTATGTGACCAATACATCTGTTCTAGAACAAGCAGCAGTCACAAGTATTGAGGCCATGTTGCTGAGAACACAGCTGTGTTGGGCAGGACACGTCTCCAGGATGAAGGACCACCGCCTCCCTAAGATCTTGCTTTATGGTGAACTTGCCACCGACTGCTGCATGAGAGGAGCCCCGAAGAGGAAATACAAGGACTCCCTGAAACAACATCTCAGCCTTGGCCATATTGATCATCATACTGGTCTACTCTGGCCTCCAATCGGGAGGTCTGGAGACACACTATCTATAACGCTGATGATGCTTTTGAGAACACACACAGGATCACTCTCAAGGAGAAAAGGCAACGCAGAAAGAATCGTGCCTTGCAGAATACACCACCTAACGAGTCTTTCTGCTGTGCCTTTTGCAACCGGACGAGCCTGTCTCGTATTGGCCTTTTTAGCCACAACGCACTTGTAACAAATGTGGGTAGAGCCCTCCCCAAATCTTCGTTCACGAAGCCCAGCCATGATGACTGTAAGAATACAAAAGTGTGAATCTCACTGTTCCAGTTACTTCCCATCCTCATACCAGAAGGCTCCAGCAGCAGAATCTCTGCTGCTGTAACACCCTGCATTCCACGGACTTCTCAGTGTTGGCTACCAGGGAGACATCACTTCACATATGAACAGAGAAGCTTCATTTTCAGTAAATACTAGCAGTAATAAAATAATTTAAAGCTGCAGTAAATCCAGTAAAAAACCATAATTTATTTTAAAATATCACATCTTGAGGAACTGGATTCATTTGTAATTTTCCTGATTTTTCAAAACAATCCTTGAAGATATTTGCTGTGCCCCTTCAGGGCAGTACTGTTGCACAGAAGCTCACACTAGATGGGAAAAGTTGATGCCTTCTTGTTTTAAAACCCCACAACTTCTATTTTTCTGCAGAATTACGGGAAATGGCATTAATGCCACTTGTCATATTCACTCCAATACTGATTTCTACCACAGGTCATGCACAGGACTACTGTCCCAGCTTTCCCTCAGCCTTACCACAGATTAGCAACTGCATGGGGATTAGAAAAATTATTTGAGTTTCCAGTCTCTGCTCCTCTTGACCTGATGTGTGTTAAAAAAAAAAAAAAAACTGGCCTCGATAATTTATAAATATCCACAGTTGAAGGTCAGAATCTCAGGAAAATTGCACTGGGGTGCTTTCGGTGGTTTCCATTTAAAATATATAGACATCTTTTCACCAAATATTTTATTATCTATCTGAAAAAGACACATGAACACCTTTGAGAAATAGCTGAAATTTTAAAAGAGAGTTTTGGCAGGCAGTACAGGAAAAGCAACACAAGATTAAGTTTGCACATTTAAGCAGTTAGGAGTGAGATAAGGTTTCTACTATTTAATGCTCAAATACAGAATATTCTGTATTTCATTATCTTACGAGCAGTTACTTCTAAAGTCCCTAATGAAGTAAGCATGATCATCCCTAGTTTAGAGATCAGAAACCAAAGCAAAATCTAGGCAGTAACATATAATATTTTAAACTTTCAGAAATTTACAGTAAAAAAGCTTCCTTTTGCAGGGATCTGAATACTGAACTGCTGCAGAGCTTTGTTGCCAAAAAAGTCACAAGCAGAAAATGCAGGTGATCATTTGAATAGTGAAAAAGTTTTAATGAAGAAATGGTCCCATGCATAAGCACTGCAGGGTCAGCAAGGTGATATTTAACATTCTGCCTCAGATTTTCAACTCAGTCCAGGTCAAATATGAAAGTATCACTCCCACCACCTGTCAATACAAGAAATACCCCACCTGGCACATTCCAGCTCTTCAGGCCACGCAATTCCGAAAGTGTCCATCAACTGCTTACAGTCAGAATACACTTTCTCACAGAGGCTTCGACAAGGGTGAATCACATGAATTTGATCCAGGCAGGCAGGGACAAAGGCTCTACACAGAAATGTGTGGACGTCTGGTGAACAGTGAAGATTCATAAGAATAAGAAAAGGCTACAGGGAAGAAAAAGGCTTTGGTTAGCAATCTAAAAAAGATAATTCAAGGCATTAAAACTAACTTTCATCACTATGGCTCACATTTGATCCCCTGTAGGTTTGAAAAGATACTAGAAAATACTGTTTGCTCAGCAATTGCGAAAAAGCAAAACCTGCTGGTCTGAGTAGCAAGAAGCTTCATTAGCACTTCCAGCCCAGCCCTTGCCCCAGGAATCTTGGCCAATCTGTGACTATTCGAACCTGACTTTTCCTACTTGTCAACATTAGAAATCTAAAAGGTATTGCGAAAGCCCAGGATTTTTAAAAAATAGGGTAAAACACTGTGCTCCTTTGTACACCAGTTAGCTTCTAAACAAGTGCCCTGAGATTTTTAAAGGTGTGTCTGTTCCAGTAGTTCCTGTTAGATTACATTTTCAGTCCTAAGTGCCGCATTGTACTCATCTTCTCTCATGCTGGAGAAGTTTGGGGTTTTTTTGATTAATGAGGTCCAAATATCATTATTTCTCATTTTTGAAACACCTCATTTCAAATCTCTCTCAACATGACTGCAGTGAGTAACTGATGACTGTTCTTATTAGAGAATTCATAGAATGAAATTTAACCCAACCTTTTTCTGCCCAATGCATTCAATTCATTATTCACAGTCAGAGAGGTTTTTAAGGAAAAAAAAAAAGCCAACCTTCCTGTTCTACATTTTATCAGTTTTACTATTAGGGTAAATTGTTTTAGCCAAAATACTACCATGTGGTTAAATTTCAGACAAACCAGGAGTTGGTGGTCATTTTTGCAAGTGCTTCTGAGTTCAGAACAGCATCCTCACGTCCATCAGCTTTTCAGTATCCCAAATATACCCTTACCTGAAGAGCAAGTTTACCCTTACCTGAACATGCAGTTTAAAAGAAAAGACATTGGCAAATAAATTTACGCTTTCAAACTGGAGTATCTACAAGTCCTCAAAGGACCTTGGTAATAAACACAGGAATGTGTGGGGAGAGGGGAAGAAAAGATCAGCAGAGCAAGAATGACATAAAAGTGCTTTATGAAAAAAAACAAAAAAATTGTTGGCACTACCCTTCAGAGCACTCCAGCTGTGTTCTGCATCTGCAGACACCATGACAGCAGGCACACAGAAGTTTAATCCCCTCTCTGAACGTCTGCTCTGGAGCTGCCTTTGTAGGAACCCAAGATCTGAGTATTTCATGACAAGGAGAGAAATGTTGCCCTGGTATACTGTGTTCCAGTTCTGTAAGTTGGATTATTTCCTAAACACTGCATGGCTTCACAGGAAAAAGTAGTCAGGCGCTAACCCTAAATGAATTAAATTCCCTCTGCATAATTATGATGCTGCTTTTCTTTTCAATTGTTAATTTATATTTGCTCTGTTCTTCCTGGCACTTAGGATAAAATAAAGACAATAGCCTAGGTAGTCATATTCAACTCCTATAGAAATTGTGTTTACTTTTGACATTAAGTCTTGAACAGATTGTCTTGATTGTTTTGAATTCTTCCTTTTTGTCACCCATAGTTCATCTCAGTTGATAAAAAGTAATTCTCTAGAGCAAGTTTTGGGCTGCCAGTCAAAAACTTTCACAGAATTCAGTAAAACAGAAATACCTTCTCTAGAAAAGTAAGGATTTTTAAAAAACACAATATTTTTATCTATAAAACCAATTTTACCAGCTCTTTTGATAAGCAACTAACAGTTTTTAAATAGAATTTTCCAACATAACTAATACAGCTATGTATTGTAAGCTCACTCCTTTGATATAGAAAATGAGTATAAAGAAAGCATTGGTTGGTAAAGAAAGTCAGGGCATAAAACCAACCTTTACCATTTTAACAGAGTTTCTGCTGTATAAAGCCACTTAAAAGCTAAAATATCACAAGAATCACTACACAATGATACTGTATATCAGAGGTAGACAATGACAAGCAAAAATAAAACGTTTCCAAGACTTTTACTAAAGCATGTTGTTATTGGCTAAACACTGTTGTTTAAAGACATATTTTATTTAAACCCCAAACCACCTTAACAGATAAGTTGAAAAATGCAAATTTTTAGGAAGAAAGCTATGCTTAGCCTATAATGTAATCAGAGTAGAATTCCAAGGACTCAGCTGCCAAAAATAATTGTTGTTACAATGTTTCTTTCAGCTAAAAATACTTACCTTCTGACGCCTGAAAGTACGAACACAAGAGCAAGAAGTCTGATGTTCTGAAAACACAAGCCAACCTTACAAGTCAGACCATTTAGCTGGACACCCCATTCTCACCCTGTCTGGTAACAAGGGGGATGTAACCAATCTGACATCTCTCCCAGTTTCCTACAACCAGTGGTTTAGGAAACAAGCTGCAGATTATAACATGACCACTGTGTTGAAAAGACATTCACAAACCTTCCTTCCTGAAATGCATCTAATCCCTTTTTCAACCATTTAAACTTAAACATTTTGTAAATATAATAGTAGTAAGTTATCTTGCACAATTTAAGCAGGCACCGCTGAAAGATACTGTATTTTATTTGTTTATTGTAACTCTTGGTTTTACAACCTAATTTGTGTTTTGACAAACAGCTAACGGATTGCACTCTACTTTTTCCATATATTTATACGTTAGTATAGTAATACTTTCAGTTCTGATTTCTATTCCTTTCATACTATACTTTGCCTTCTACTTACCTTGACTACATTCGAACACTGACCTCCCATTGGTACAGTGACGAAAACTCTTTCTGAGTGACAGCAACCAATTTAATACTGTGCCCACCCACCTGTACAGATAGTGGGAGTTATTTTTCCTCATACTTATTACTCTGGGAGTAATTTTTTTCCCATATGCATTACTCTGCATTTTCCAACCCTAAATCCCACCTACCATTTTATTGTCCAGTTGAATCTAGCAGATTCATCTGCTGAAAGAATCTGCAATTCTTTCACCGATTTTGTTTTCTCAGCAAATTTATTATCTATCCCTCTTCTAGGTCCATTTATGAATTAGCTGTCTATCAGAGGTTTCTGTACAGATAAGTAGGGGGAACCACTCTAGTTACTTATTTGGTATAGCATGAAACTATCAGCTCATGATTTAATAACCCTTACTGTGAAAAAACATTTATTTATTCATACTTTTCTTCTTAGGCAGGGAGGCATTGGAAAATAAAGTCCCCAATGGGTTACCAGCAGAGTTTCTTTAAAAAAAACACAGGTTATGACCATGTCAAAACCTTTTTGAAAACTGAAGTATAACATACTGTCTGAATTACCCCTTTCAACAAATACATTGAGTCCCTCAAAAAACTCTTAACAGATTTTACAGCCAATGAGTTCCCGCAACCAAAAAACCTCTATAAAATGTAAAACTTTGCCTCAAGCACACACAAATGGGATTTGTAAAACACAAATTTATTTTCAGCAACAGCCTACTTTTACCATTTAAGAACAGCAGAAGTAGTAGGGAACTGTGTCTGGAACTCTGCTAACAATTAGGTATCTTTAAATGTGGGTTTCACTTCCAGTTGACCAATTTGGAAAAGTTTCATCAGAGAAAATAGCATGTCTGCAGTTCCTGATGGACCATAAAAGCAAAATCTTACCAAAACCAAAGTATTTTCTCCCCCAGCTGCATCGTCTGGAAGGAAAAAGTGTAAAGCCAAGATCACAAGCTCACTGACAGTAAAATTCAGTTGCTTCAAGACCACTTTATCTGAACCATGGATGTCCCAAAGACAAACCATTTTTTATCCAAGTGATTAGCTGGGTAAGCTGCACGCATGCGCACACTGGTGTCCTGAGTATGCAAGTCTGGGATTAAACTCAGAATCTTGTACCATAGTCCTCCCCTCTTCAGGAAGTTCAGGGTCTGCCCGTGGCACAATCAAACAACATAGGCTCTTCCAGGAAACTAGGGCACTTGGCATTTCTAGCATTAGCAACCACTGCCCTGTCATATGAAGAAGAGAGATGAAAATCTGCAGATTTGGTGATGGCAGTGCTAAAAATAGAGTGAAGGCAGACTCTTTAAAAACCAGAAACACGGCTAATGCAAGTCCTAAAATAAAAATTCTCATCTTCTTAACAATGGGAAACAAAACTCAGTAAACATAAGGCAAACTAGAATATAGTAACAATCTAAAACCAACCAACCAACCAAAACCCCAAACAAACAAAAACCCAAAATCCAAACCAACAAACTAATAGCAACTGTAAAGTCAATGATGATGTAGTCTTTAACAGCAGGAGGGGCACTGTCTCAAGCAGTATTAGTGAAGAACTGAGGACTGTGGGACGCAAACTTTCCACTAACAAAACACCAACATCTGACTTAGTAAATTCTAGATTCCTTATGAGGTGTGTCTATGTTATATCTTTTCCAGAGGCAAAGCCAAACTACCTCAGAAATCCAGTTACAGTGTGGTCCTACAAACAGTAACACAACTAAGACAAGCAAAAACAAATGTTACAAAGTACAGAATAAAGGTCTAGGTGCAAACATGTTCTTAAACGAACTTTACCAACAAGCAAATTGCAATCTAGAACTGTACATGGATCTTGTACTCAGGATGCTTCTGTTTTGTGCTTAGCAGGCTTACAATTCCAAGACACAAGAAAAACAAGCTCATTATTCCGGGCAGACACTGAAAATGCTCTCTTGTACCTCATTTCAGTTTTATCCTGGAGAAAAGCATTACCAGAAATGATCAGACGTCTCTGGGGTTGGGATGTATGATAACTACCAAGATATGTCAAAAAAAGTAAAGGAAAATATTCTTCTGTACTCTGCTGATTAATGTCACAGAGATATTCAGATAATATAGAAAACATTGGATCGAAATATCAAGGTCTTTGTTAGAATCAGCCACAGCAAACCTTGATTGTAAGAGACAGGAAATACCTTGAATTGCTGAGATATACAGAGGATTAGAGCCTTTGTTCAGCCACTGGAGCCAGGTATCTAAGAGAGTAACAACCTATTTTCCTAACTACTGAGGTCTAACTACA